CGTTCACCGCAGGTCCAATGTATATGTTTAACAACTTCGTTGATGCTCTTCAAATATGTAACTGGATTGGATCTACAACCCTCTTCATTGTCAATACATGCAATCCTCAATGGCCAGAAATACAAAGGGTGTTGAAAGATACAAATCTCAGGCCGGAGGATCGGCCAGACATCCTTTGTCGTGTGTTCAAGATGAAGCTCAATAGTATGATGACAGAAATCAAGAAAGGTTGTATATTCAGACGTATTACAGCATGTAAGTATTTAATTAGATCTCAGTTTATAATTATACATTTACTTCATTCATATAAATTAAAGAATTTGCTCATGTGTGAGTTTAACTACTTATTGCTTCCTTAACTAAATTAATGCATATTTTTTTAATACCATATGTTTATATTTTCTATGCAGATATATGCTTAATTGAATTTCAGAAACGAGGTCTACCGCATGCACATATTTTATTGTGGTTTCATAATAACGATAAGACCAATAACCCAGAAGAAATTGATAGGATCATATGTGCTGAAAATCCTGACGAAGTAAACGACCGAAAGATGTACCAGTTGGTGGAGAAGTATATGATACATGGACCGTGCGGTCAGGCGAATTTGAAATCTCCCTGTATGAAGGATCGAGTTTGCACGAAGTGATTTCCAAAGCCATTTGTGCAGCGCACTGAATCAGATGCAAATGGTTTTACTGTGTACAGGAGAATGGAAGATGGCAGAACAGTTACGAAGAAGAAGACTACTCTTGACAATGGGTTTGTAGTCCCGTACAATCGTATATTGTTGAGTAAACACCGATCTCACATTAATATCGAGTCATGCAACCATAACAAGTCAATCAAATACATGTTCAAATACGTAAACAAGGGGCATGACCGAGTTACGGCGGCATTTTATGAAACACGCAATACAGATGGCGGTGCTGAGATTTGTGATGAGATAAAGATGTACTACGACTGCAGATATCTTTCGGCATGTGAGGCAATGTGGAGGTTTGCGAACTTGAGTTAAAAGAGGATTCTCAAACTTGGGCGCCAAGGACAAAAATATTTTCTATTGGTAGGCTTGCGAATGTTCCCTCTGGAAAAGGAAAAGACTAATACCTTAGATTGCTACTTAACATTCAAAGGGGATATACGTGCTACGAGGACATCACAAAAGTTTTTGACACCGTCTACCCTACGTTCAGGGATGCACGTTATGTGTTGGGTTTATTAGATAACGACAAAGAATACCAGTGTTCTAAAAATCGGTCGAGGCTGCCGATTAATCGGCCGACTCGGCCGAGGCGGTCCAAAACCTTTACGATTTTAGTGTAAAGGTTTGAAAAATCAGTTTTTTGCCTGTGAGGCGGTTTTAGGCGGTCTGAGGCGGTCCGAGGCGGTCTGAGGCGGTCAAACCTTTAAGGCGGGTCAAACTCCGTGGCAAACATCGGTTAAAAATCGGTGTTTTTTTTTTTTTTTTTTTAATTCAAAATAAAAGTTGGATTTTAATAAAAGAAAATATGAGTTTATGCCTTATTTTTTTATGTTAATTATTATTTATTATTGTTAAAGAACTGAATAAATGTTAATTCAAAAATTTTGCTTTTTTATTTATATTTTATAAGGATATTTATGTATTATGATCTTATAATTATTAAACTTTTATTATGTTATTAGGATATATATATATGATGGAGATATAACTATGTTTAAATATCTTTTTATATATGTTTGGAGTATTTATAAATAATATTTAGAAATATATTATATTAAATTTTAAAAACCGATTTATTTTCGATTTATCACCGATTAATCACCGCCGCACCGATTAATCGTGAGTCGGTGCCTGACCAACTCGGACCCGATTACCGCCTTTTACAACCTTGAAGAATACATATATTCAATAATAAAAGTGAATACTTGGGCACCGAGAGATTATATAAGAAGGTTATTTGTAGTTATGCTTCTTTCCAATAGCTTAAGTCGGCCTAAACATGTTTGACAAAGTTGTTGGTTGGATTTGGCTGAGGGTATTGCTTACAAACAACAAAGTCTTCATAATAATCCAGATATGGAAAATTGTATAACACATAATTCAATTAGATTTTAAATATTACTCATCTTTTTAATATTGTCGTCTCTCACCGAAATAGAAAAAATATTGCAAAGCAATGGTAAAAGCTTGCGAAATTACGCGCCCATGCCAGTTCCAATCGAATTCTCAGCGGATGACACAGTAAACATATTGGTGTTAGATGAACTGGATAACGACCTGTTTGAAATGGGTAGGGAACTTCAACGGTGTCTTGCTTGAATTACATACGTGCAAACAAAGATTTATGATGTAGTCATAGATGTTGTATCCAATGACCGTGGTGGAATGTTCTTTCTATATGGCCATGGTGAAACGGGAAAGACGTTTCTATGGTAAACTCTTTCGGCTGCAGTTCGTTCCAAGGGAGAGATTGTAATTAACGTTGCATCGAGTGGTATAGCATCATTATTGCTCCCCGGTGGAAGAACAGCTCATTCTCGATTCGGACTACCCATAAATGTACACGAGATTTCCACCTGTAGCATATCGCAAAAAAGTCCACATGCGGAGTTGTTCATAAGGGCAAAGCTTATTATATGGGACGAGGCTCTTATGATGCATAGATAATGTACATTTTGAAGCGCTTGACAAGACAATGAAGTCAATATTACAGGTTGACAAACTCTTTGGTGGTAAGGTGGTTGTTCTTAGAAGAGATTTTAGGCAGATTTTACCAGTTGTGCTCAAAGCATCAAGGCAGGACATAGTACATGCTACGATAAACTCCTCTCTGTTGTGGAATTTCTGTCGTGTCATGAAGTTTACTAAGAACATGAGATTGCAGTCATGCTCTTCTCCATCTAACGTGGATGAGGTAAAATAATTTGGAGACTGGATACTGAAGGTTGGTAGTGAGGATGTTGGGGAACAAAATCATGGTGAAGCTTCGATAGTGATTCCCGATGACATATTGATTGGTGATTCAGAAGATCCATTCAGAGACCTACTGGAATTCGTTTACCCGGATTGTTGAGTAACATGTATGATTCAGATTATTTTCAAGGGAGAACAATTCTTGCACCAACTAATGAATGCGTCGAGTTTGTGAACGATCACTTAATGTCTCTCCTACTAGGAGAGGAGAAGGTGTACCTGAGCTCAGATAGTATGTTTAGGGACGAGCAAACAATGGAGGATAATGCAGACATTTATTCGACTGAATTCCTCAACACAATAAGATGCTCCGGACTTCGTTCTCATGCGTTGAAGTTCAAGATTGGTGCACCCGTTATGCTAATAAGAAACATCGATCAAGCTAAAGGATTGTGTAACGGGACCAAACTTCAAATTATTAGAACTGGCATTCACGTTCTGAGTTGCAAAATTCTTTCCGGAAAAAATATCGGTGACATGATGTTCATTCCTCGGATGACTTTAATACCATCTACCAGACTGCCAATTAAATTTCAGAGAAGACAGTTTCCGTTGATTGTTTCTTTTGCAATGACAATCAATAAAAGCCAAGTTTCAAACTCTTTCGCATGTTGGTTTGTATCTTCCTAAGCATGTCTTCAGCCATGATCAACTATATGTTGCACTGTCCAGAGTTACGAGCAGATGTGGCATTAAAATATTCATCAAGTTGGATTCGGGTGAACTCACCAATGTTACTAGAAATGTAGTGTACAAGGAAGTATTTCATCGAATTTGAAGGTAGATAATATTTTCATATTTACCAATTATTCATGTAACATATCTTTTTTTTAACAACTTATTCTTTGGCAGGTGTTTCTTCTCTATATAATTTCCCCCATGCGATGTTATTTTCAGTCATGTCCCTAGGATGCTCATTGCAAATTTTATTATCTTTAAGATTTAATTTTGACGATATACTAATATTTAATATTATTCTTATGATGTAACTATGAAGAACATGATGCTTCAATATTGCTGGTCGCGTTTTGTATTTAAATTCAATGAGCGTAATAATTTATATATGCGTAAATTTATTTTTCAGACATGTATTTCCAGTTGAAAATATGCCACCCCGTGCATCGCACGGGTGAATACTAGTTTGGTGTATATTTGTCCTTACCACATAGGAATTATGATGTTTAATTACCTCAATAACTTTAATTCGAATAATTTATTTTCCGTATTCCGCTTGCATTTATGGCACACATTTCATGTGTTAGGACATAAAAATAGATTACTTTGTAAATATGTTTATGAATATTCAAATATTGAAATTCGTACAAAAAAAAGTGCATATAATATGCAATATTCGTTATAATCGAAATGTTTTCGATCATGGACATCTACTAGGCATTTAGAAACCAAGCATAATCGAAATATACAAGAAAATCGAACTTTAACTTATTTTTGTAATATGATGATATTTTCATTTTAACACAATCCATTAATCAAAATAGGCAACATTATCACATTTTTTCTTCTTCTAGGAAATGCATTCCTATGTCGTAATATTAGGAGTAAACTTCAAATACTACCCCTGTGTTATCTCGAAATAGCGGAAACCCCCCTGTGATAAATAAACTAGCAAAAACCCCCCTGTGAAATTTAGTCAAAGGCAGAATCCCCCCTAGCTGATTTTTTAGACTTGAAATGACAAAATTGTCCCTCAAAATGTATTTATATATATACATATTATATGTATATTTATTCTTTTTAATTTGTTTGTTTAGAAATTAAAAAAAATAGTAAACAACTAAATTGATTATTTTTTAAATAAAATAATTAAAATATTTATAAAATATAAGAATTTATTAATTGCAAGACTCCAGGGGTATTTGTGTCTTTTTATATCAAGTCAACCCTCAAATAGTTCCATAGGGGGGTTTTTGCTATTTAAATAATTTCACAGGGGAGGTTTTTGCTAGTTTATTTATCACAGGGGTTTTTTTGCTATTTCGAGATTACCCAGGGGTAGTTTTTGCAGTTTACTCTAATATTAGCCAAAAAAAGAGGAAAGACCATGAATTTGAGGAGCAAAAAGCATACTCCATTTCTTCACAAGTACGCCAAATTCTTACACACACAAAAAAGAAAAAAGAGAGAGGGGCCAAAGCTTGACTTAGTTTTTTCTTGGCCAAATTTTGTTTTTGGCAATTTCCCCAAGTACACAAAAATCATCCATTAAAATCCTAGTGATGAACTCTAAGGGGCGGGGGAAATGCCTCGTGTGCTACAATTGGAATTGTCTCGAACTTGCAATCAACTGCGGATAACAACTGAACTTCATTATTAGCCTCTTCAATCGTGATCTTCTCGATAAGCCCGATTAGAATCCGCTCCAACTCTTTCCCGTCAATCCACTCGAATATTTCCGCCTTCAAGATCTCTCGATTTTCACATATCAATTTCCAAACCGGGAAATTCTTCCTCGGCATCATAAAATCTCCTTCTTTAAGCTTCAAACTCGGGCAAAAGTCGCCTACACCGTCGCCTAGATATATAATCTTTTTCTTTCCTTCATTTGCTTGAATCCTCTCTATTATCATACCCTTCATGCAAATTAAATAAATAGAATTAGTTCAAATGTTCTTTAGGGACTAGAAATTAATTAATGAGATTTAGTGGGGTCAATATAGAATAAATATTACAATCCAAAACCTTGAGTAATCCTAAAACAGGGGGATCATATTCCCGTATATTCCGGATATAAAATATTTGCCTGATTTGAAGTCCTTTTTCCATGCAACTTTTGTATAGAGAGAGAGAGAGAGAGAGAGAGAGAGAGAGAGAGATCAGTATACCTTGCACATGTTTGGAGGGCAGAGATTACAACCATGGGGTGATGTAACGTAAGGTGAGATTATCAGCGTCCCTTCGCCATTAATAAAGCTCGGGTTCGAGTTTATTTCTGAGAAGCAGTTTCTTATTCCAAGATGATCAAGAATCATCTCGATGAAAAACATGTTTGCATCACTCACTATCCTCAAATCACACCTGAATAAAAATAAATAAATAAAAATTACTAGCCCAAAAAACAGAGGGAATTTAAAATTAAAAATAAATAAAAAAATTATTCCAACATAAAAATCTTGAAAAAAAAAAGAAAGATAATAATGAACTCACCCTAAAGCATGGGCAGTCTTGATTGCAGGAACAACCCTATGATGTATAGGAACTCTCTTTAGAACATCCTTAATCTCCTCAATTGTCTTCCCATTTGCATGCATCTCTTTCATCATCCTCTCCTATATTTTTTTTATTTTAAAAAACGATTAATAAACCCAATAAATATTACAAAAAATATGAAATTCGGAAAACGAAAAAAAAATCAAGAACTCACCATTAGTGAATTCCACGGCATGGTGGGAAGAAGCTCGTTGAACAAATCGGTGGCGCCAAGTTCATCCACCACCCAATTATCGCTATCCACCTCGATTATCGTCTTGTCGAAATCCAAAATCACCATAATTCCGGCCATCGGCTTTTTTTTTTAATAATAATAATAAGTTGATGTAACAGCTAAGAAATTCTTTAGGTTTTTTCGTTTGTAATAGTATGTGTTGAAGAATTAAGGTAAATATATATATATAGAGATATATATATAGGAATGGGTAGTGCAAAGAACCTAGTTAGAATACAAATGGAACAGAAAAAGGATGTGAATTTTATTAGATGCCAATGGAATATTATTATGCAGTACATGTTTTTGTGGTGGATTAAAAGCAAGGCAGTTCAAATTGCTCTGTTGTTTAAATTAAGCCGTTGGATCTGGCTAGATTGGGGGTGTGGTGAATGATCGGACGGTGCTCATTTAGTAGGGAGATTTATTGGTAATGTTAATATGCATGCGGCCACTAGGGAATATTCCGTGGCAATGTGAATTGTGCCAGAATGTTTGTAATTCTATTTGTTGCCCCTAGGGGCAATATTGTAATTGTACTTTTATTTTAGGGTGCATTTGGATGGAGGGATTTGGGGGAGGGATTTCAAATCCATAATAACAAATCCCTCGGACTTGTTTGGATTGAGGGATTTGGGGATGGATTTCAAATCCCCACCCCTCATTTTTTGTTGATTTTGGAGCAATAGTGATGGATTTCAAATGACTCAAGAATTGGAGTCATTTCAAATCCATTCCCCAAATCAAATCCCTTCCCAAATCCCTCCATTCAAATGGACCCTTACAGTTATTTGCTGCACATTTGCACATGTCCAACTTCTCTCCTAACTTATAACTTATGAAATTACATGTTACACGTGGTTATTTAAATTGGAGATCTGAACCATAAAATTTCATATAATTACACACACATCCATATATATATATATATATATATATATATATATATATATGTGTGTGTGTGTGTGTGTTTAGTGGGTAATAATTTATATTAAATTTCCTATTCAAATTCACACAATATAAATAACCAGGTGTAACATCTAACTCCCCATCCGCCAATCTTGTACCAGCCATTGGAGGGCCTTCTTTCCATTTCCAGGTTTCTTCCACTAAAAAACTCGATTTTCCTTATTGGGAAAAGGACGCTCGGTACAAGAAAGTTTAAACAACTGTTGGAAGAAAAAAACAAACACATGGCAAAAGATTTGGAAAAAGTCCATTATAATTACACTTTTGATTTCTATATTTGATGATGCTAAAATATAGCTCACCTAGGGTGGTGTAGAAAATGAACTGGGAGAGCAAAGCAGATCAGTAGCTTGACAACTTGATTATCCTGAGGTACCTGCGAAATGAGCACACGTGAACTACGCCGGGGGTTGATCCGGCGGAAACCCCTCCGACGCTCAAGTCAGACGTGCTGATAGTGGAAATAGTCCAGAGAATACAGTTGATAGTATTACTCAGTTAATAGGACCTACCTTAATAAAATGAGGAAAACCTCTATTTATATGTCGTTTATTGGGTTGGGTTTGCTTTGTTGGGCCCAAGCCTTACTTGAAGGTGTTTGGGCCTCGGTGATATTAGTCTTCGTTATTGGACTCGTAGCCCAGTAGGTAAAGAAATTGTAGGCCCATTGGGTTGGCCCAATTAGGCATATCATTAAGCCCCCCACTCTCGAGTCGATGTGGGGGCCATGTTGTGATGGGTCTCAAATCGTGTCGAGAGTAAAAATTGGAGAAGTCGATCATTGGTGTATGGCCTAATGGTATGCGAAAACGCGTTGGAGCGTGTGTCGGAGGGGCGTGAATGCGCGTTGGCGCATAACGCGACAAGGTTGTCGCGATGTAAGTTAATTGAGTCGTCGGTTTTGTCCCGCGACGATGTAGTAGAGAATTATCTCCTCGTGGGAGTTGTCTTGTCGCGGGGTAATAGTGTTGATCGAGTTATCTCCTCGTGGGAGTTGTCTCGCGATAATGTAGTAGCACGGATCATGTAATCTCCTCGTGGGAGTTGTCTTTTGGGTAATCGAGTTGATCGAGTTACGTCCTCGTGGATGTTGTCTCACGATAATGTAGTAGCACGGAGCTAGTATTCTCCTCATGGGAGTTGTTATTTTTCGACATTGTCAATGTTTTAACGCGTTGCTTATATGTGTTTACATATAGCCTTGTGCGTGATGTACTTGAGGAGGGGATCAGACTCTCAAGATTTTTTTTTTTTATGGGGGTCGTGCCCCTTGTTAGACCTCGTGGGTCTTAAGTATGTTTGGACCGTGGCCACGTTTTAATGAATGACCCATCGAAAACAAGTAGATATTTTTGAGTAATCAAGCTGGCCAGGCTATATAGATTCTCATAATGTCTCTAAGTGCTTCTAGGGTTGTAATCGTGCTAACTTGAGCTTGTGATTATATAGTGAATTTCGGGCGAGTTGTCTCCTCATTGGAGTTGTCTCGCGGTGAGTAATATTTATCGAGTGAGGTGGTTGCATGTGGGAGTTGTCACGCTGTGGTGTTGAGATCCGAGGGAGTTGGCTCCTCGTGGGAGTTGTCTCGCAACGGGTTGTAGGATTGAGCGAGTGGACTCCTCGTGGGAGTTATCTCGGTGTAGTTTTGAGACTAGAGGGGGTTAGCTCCTCGTGGGAGTTGTCCCAACGGGTTATAGGACGGAGCGAATGGTCTCCTCGTGGGAGTTATCTCGCTGTGGTTTTGAGACCCGAGGGGGTTGGCTCCTCGTGGGAGTTTCCTTGTAAGAGGTTGTAGGACCGAGCGAGTTGTCTCCTCGTGGGAGTTGTCTCGCTGCGGGTTGTATTACTGCACGAGTTGGCTCCTCGTGGGAGTTGTCTCGCAGGGGAGTTGTAAAAGCATCGGATGGCGCGCGACTGAGCAGCGCGCGGACTGAGGTCGCTCTGAGCGAATTGTCTCCTCGTGGGAGTTATCTCGAAACGGGTTGTATGGCCGAGCGAGTTGTCTCCTCGTGGGAGTTGTCTCGCTGCGGGTTGTATTACTGAGCGAGTTGGCTCCTCGTGGGACTTGTCTCGCTGCGGGTTGCAGTACCGAGCGAGTTGGCTCCTCGTGGGAGTTGTCTCGCTGTGAATTGTGGGACGGAGCGAGTGGTCTCCTCGTGGGAGTTATCTCGCTGTGGTTATGAGACCCGAGGTAGTTGACTCCTCGTGGGAATTACCTCGCAACGGGTTATAGGATGGAGCGAGTGGTCTCCTCGTAGGAGTTATCTCGCTGTGGGTTCGTAGGACCGAGCGAGTTGGCTCCTCGTGGGAGTTTCCTTGCTGTGGGTCGTAGGATGGAGCGAGTGGTCTCCTCGTAGGAGTTATCTCGTTGTTCGTAGGACCGAGCGAGTTGGCTCCTCGTGGGAGTTTCCTCGCTGCGGGTCGTAGGATGGAGCGAGTGGTCTCCTCGTAGGAGTTATCTCGCTGTGGGTTCGTGGACCCGAGGGAGTTGACTCCTCGTGGGAGTTATCTCACAACGGGTTATAAGACGGAGCGAGTGGTCTCCTCGTGGGAGTTATATCGCTATGGTTTCGTAGATCCGAGGGAGTTGGCTCCTCGTGGGAGTTATCTCGCAACGGGTGGTAGTACTGAGCGAGTTGGCTCCTCTTGGAAGTTGTCTCGCAAGCCCCCCACTCTCGAGACGATGTGGGAGCCAAGTTGAAAGGGGTACCGGATCGTATTGAGAGTAGATCGGTGTTGTAGTCTTGCGTTAATCGTTGGCATGGCGTGGAGAAATAATTTTTTTTTTTTTTTTATTTTCCATTTGATAGCGAACGCCATTTGGTAGGTGCGTTAAAGAGCTCGCGGAATGTGGTGGAGCGCGTTGAAATTCTCGTGCGATTTGGAGAAGCGAGTCAAAATCTACGCGCAATTTCGTAGAGAGTAGACAAAGTTGCGCGCGATCTGATAGGAGCGCGCAGTCCAAGGGTGTCTTGGAAAGCGCGCGCACGTGCTCGCGCGCGCTCCAAGTATTTTTTTTTTTTTTTTTTCCTGCTGACGCGCGCGCGCGTCAGCGCGTGTACTCCACGCGCGCGTGCGGTGCACGCGCGCCTCCACCTGTTTTTTTTTTTTTTTTTTTTTTTTGCTGTCGCGCGTGCTGTGCACGCGCGCGCGTCCGGCGCGTTTAGCCACGCGCGCGTGCTGTGCACGCGCGCCTCCAGCTTTTACTTCTTTTTTTTTTTTTTTTTTTTTTTTTTTTTTTTTTTTTTCTGACGCCAGCGCGCGCCTCCCATTTTTTTTTTTTTTCTTGTATTTTTCCTTCTTTCTTCTTCTCTTTTTTCATCTTCTTCTTTTTTCTTCTATTTTTTCATCTTCTTTTTTCTTCTTCTTTCTTCTTTTCTTTTTTCTTCGTCTTTTTTTTTTTTTTTTCTTCTTCTGGGGTCTCTCGTGCGCGATTTTACCCTCCTTTTTTTTTTTTTTTGGTTGATATTCACCCCCATGGGGATGTTCTATTTTTTGAGTAGGAAGATTATCCTCGTCTCTTGCGATGTGATGTGAACCCCCTTGGGGATGTTCTATTTTTTGAGTAGGGAGATTATACTCGTTCCTTGAGATGAGATGTGCACCCCCTTGGGGATGTTCTATTTTTTGAGTAGGGAGATTCTACTCGTCTCTTGAGATGTGATGTGAACCCACTTAGGGTTGAAAGGTAAGGGTCATGCCCAACCTTAGGATGGGGATAATTGCCCACTGTAGGATGAGGCGCTCGAGACCTATGGTCTGAGGTGGATGCGCACGGTTGTGCCATTGGTTCGCGCGTGCGCGTCAGACCCTTTTTTTCTGTTTTTGAAGTAGGGACTTGAAACACTTGATGGGATGTGAAACCCCTTGGGGTTGAAAGGTAAGTGGATGTACCACCCTTGAGATGAGATGCCCAACTTTGGCGATTTATGGTGCCACTGATTCAGTGGCAGCACGAGTTAAGTCTTCCGTGATCATACGCTGAAGGTCTTCTTCGGTTATCTGAACCGTTCGAGAAGTAAATAGAAATTGATCATGTTGAGGACCCAGTGGGGCCTCACGAGGAGGAGCGTTGGCTCCTGCTATGACGATGTATGGTGCCACTGCTTCAGTGGTAGCACAAGTTGAAGCTTCCGCGATTATACGCTGAAGGTTCTTATCGGTTATCTGAACCGTTAAATGAGCTAGTAGAAGTTGATCTTGTTGAAGGTTCGGCGATCATATGCTGAAGGTCCTCTTCGGTTATCTGAACCGTTCGAGGGGGCGGAAGTAGACCCCCAGAGAGTCGATGACCCATGGCGAATGAAATGTTTTGGGGGCATTGTAAACCCCCAGGGAGTCGATAACCCTTGGCGAACGAAATATTTTGGGGGCAGTTGTAAGCCCCCAGGGAGTCGATAACCCTTGGCGAACGAAATATTTTGGGGGCGATGTAAACCCCCAGGGAGTCGATAACCCTTGGCGAGCAAACTATTTTGGGGGCACTATAAACCCCCAGGGAGTCGATAACCCTTGGCGAACGAAATATTTTGGGGGCAGAGGTAAGCCCCCAGGGAGTCGATAACCCTTGGCGAGCGAAATATTTTGGGGGCAGATGTAAGCCCCCAGGGAGTCGATAACAGTGGTGCCATAGGTGGCTCCACATGTGGAGCAGGTGCTGGTATCGCGTTGGGAGCATTTGCTCCCATCGTGGCGATATATTGGGTCACGGCCTCTATGGCAGCGCGAGTTGAAGCTTCTGCTATCATGCGTTGAAGCGCATCCTCGGTTATTTGAACCATTCGATGAGCAGGGAGTGGTGGATCGGCGAGTGGTTGGTCCCGAGGGGGATCACCTGAACCTCGCGAGGCGGATCCATGGGACGTGGAGGAGGTGGCAAGCCAGAGCCTCCACGAGGTGGGAGGTCGTTAGCTGTGTTATTTTCTCTCCGAGCAGACGCCTCAGGAGGATCTTGTTGGCTACGTGATCTGGTTTGCATCGTTCCCACAGACGGCGCCAAAATGATGATGCTAAAATATAGCTCACCTAGGGTGGTGTAGAAAATGAACTGGGAGAGCAAAGCAGATCAGTAGTTTGACAACTTGATTATCCTGAGGTACCTGCGAAATGAGCACACGTGAACTACGCCGGGGGTTGATCCGGCGGAAACCCCTCCGACGCTCAAGTCAGACGTGCTGATAGTGGAAATAGTCCAGAGAATACAGTTGATAGTATTACTCAGTTAATAGGACCTACCTTAATAAAATGAGGAAAACCTCTATTTATATGTCGTTTATTGGGTTGGGTTTGCTTTGTTGGGCCCAAGCCTTACTTGAAGGTGTTTGGGCCTCGGTGATATTAGTCTTCGTTATTGGACTCGTAGCCCAGTAGGTAAAGAAATTGTAGGCCCATTGGGTTGGCCCAATTAGGCATATCATTATTATACACCAAATTAAAATTGTTTTCAATGGCTATATATTTTATTTGCTACGATTTAGTCCTTAAACTAACCATTTTGTTTCCTTTTTTGGTCCGTTATTTGATTTTGGTGTTATTCCATTATTCCTATCCACTTTCCCATACTGCTTTCATGGGCTTATCATTAGCAGTTGTTCGGAGGTTACAAAGCTTATAAAAGCAGGTCATTCCTGGGCAAAAAAATAGAAGTTGTGAGAGGTAGAGTGTAGCCCTCGAATTTTGCAACATCTTATGGAACATTTACTTGGTCCTTATTTTTTTTTTGTTCAGACTTAAAGCGTATTTCAGTTTTTCCTTATAAGAACTTTGATTCAGAGAGTCTAGACTTGTATGAAGGGATCATTGTGTGATAACTTCATACACGGAAAAACCACTAATTTCCTTCTTATGTGTTCTTGTAATTAGGGGTGGGCATTCGAATCGGGTAGATTTCAAACTTATCGGGTATTGCCGGGTCCGGGTACCCGGTGCTCACAAATTGGGTCGGATCCGGGCATTAGTATTCCTACTCGAACCCCCAATCGGGTACCCAACCAAAAAAAAAAGTAGAAGAAAAGAACTAAACAAGAGGCTATCTTGCTCCCAAGCCCAACCCTATTTTCTTATGTAGTCCATCTTATATTTGTAAATGTAATTGCTAAATGTCAATATGTCAACTGTAGTAACAAAATTTTCTAAACTAAACAAAAAAAAATTGGCCAAAACAAAAAACACAAAGGTTATATATATATATATATATATATATATATATATATATATATATAGAGAATAAATTATTTGATATAATATGTATATTAAATATACTAAGAATAAAAAAGTGAGTACAATATGAGAATTATGAATTGAATTTTGTATACTGCAAGATAGAAATTCACGAAGGAATTGTTATATTATTTCCAAACGAATATCACCTATCTATACTTCTTATAAAAATTGAATAATTAGGAGGTTTCTTCCATTTTGTGGTTGGACAAAAATACCCTCATCATTATGTCCCAAATGCAACAATCATTTGCTATTGACGTCGGATTCCTAATTGAACTAAACCTGCATTTAATTAAATCATAATGCTATTACTTATAAATACTAAATAAAAATAATAAAAACATGAAATTTATTATAGAAATTAAAGCCCAAATAAATAAAAGAAAATGGGCCCAGCCCCAATTCTCACGGCCCCCAACATAAACTCATTACTCTCATTTAAAGTATAATCCCATTATTTCCGTTTTAATTAATATTCGGAAAAAACTGGCCCGTTAAAACCCTTATTCTCCATCAGTTCTGTTCAGCTTCTTAGGTTTTCTATCAACCCCCAAATTTTGCTTCTCATCTTCTTAATCATTCATAATTTTAGAGTAACTGACGCCCTCTCAAAAGTTTTCACGATTAAATGGTAATTGTTCTCAACAATTTATTTTACCCACACAAAAAAACGTCTGATTGTTAATGCATAAATGCATCCAACCACTCAACCAGCCCATATACTATATATTCCAACTTCAACAATGATGTCTTCGCCAAAAATACATGCCCATCAGACACCAAAACTTCTTAAAAATCTGGTAACTTCTTACAAGGTCAACAAGTAAGTATTCTGCGTTTTATTACACCATGTTTCAATATTTCATTATAGTATTCATGTTGTTCTTATATGTATTGGCAATTTGGTTTTTAATTTGTTTAAATTTCAAGGGTAGTTATTGCTGGTATTTTTATGGGTTCTTTTGGCAGATGATTTTTTTTTTTAACTAAGTTAGGGTGTAAAATGTTGTGAATTTATTTTAGATATGTCAATATACTGACATTAATTATACCCAAGATGAAAGGCAGGGACAAAATAAGCTTACAATAATTTTTTTTTCAATTTTAGTTTTCTGTCGTTATTTTTAAAATTTTAATTTTTGCGGTTATCGGTATTGTTAAGCTTTCTATAAATTTTCTACTGTCTTCAAATTAAAGAGGCTTAAAATCTATTATACGGTACTAATTAGATCAACATTATTTCTTAAGAAAAAATAATTTTTTAATCTTCCCCCGTTTGATTCTTATGTTATAGAAAACCAGCAACCAATGGCGAACGATTCAATTGTGCCCCTTAAGGATTTACAAGTCAACCAACAAGTATGGACAGTACAACTAAAAGTGTTACGTGTCGGAGATGAGATAACTTGCGGCACAAACTTTTCTGTAAAGATTAAGAAGCTGATTATGATGGATGACGAGGTAAGTATGTCACCTTTACAAATTTTATTTTTTAAGTGCAACATGAACAAAACTAATAAACAAAAAAATGATTGCAGAGTGTTAGAATCGGTGTTGTAATATTCAATGATGATATACAATATTTTGATGGTTGCTTCTTTGTACATAAAACATACATTATTTCTAACGGTGTTGTGAACAAAAGCAAGCCAATGTATTTCAGTGCACATCCAAAACTTGAATTGGTACTGAAAAAGATAACCATAGTAAAGGAAGCTTCAATCCCGATTACCGGAGAAACAATGAGCTACAACTTTGTTGACTTAAGAGAGATAGATATCAAATTGCATAGTAATAAGTCAATTGGTATGTATATTTTTTAAAATATTATTGATACTACTGGTATAACAATTTCTAATATGTATTTATGTGTGTATCTACTTTCACAGATGTATGTGGGGTACTCATCAAAGTAAAGCCATAAAAAATGTTAACAACATCGAGGGAGTAACAAAATTTGTGCGAGAAATAACCATAGTTGACAAAGAGTAATTACAAAATGAAGGGATTATCATGTTATATTTTGTAACGAATGAGCAGACTAAGTTTATAATATATATATATATATATCTTTATTTATTTTTTATATACATGTATCGTCCCATTATAATCAATATTTGGGAAGATATGGCGCAACATGATGGAAAAGACCTGCAACAAATTGCTCATGAAAAATCAATCATTGCAATTACCAATGTCATAGTTAAAGAGTATTTAAGTACGTCTGTTTTTATTCGAAAACACAACATTTATTATTTGAAAAGAAACTATAATTTAATAATATTATGCAGATATCAATCATGCAAATAAATCCTTAAATTTTATACAGGGGATACAAAATAACCCAAAACCCTTAAATTTGGACTTGTGATCAATAGCCTCTAAGTTGGCTCTTGACGGGTTTTACCTCGTCTAGTGACTCTACGAGGGCTCGGAGGTATTTTCAGATATTTGGCCTTTTAAATCGGCTTTTTGACGGATATTATCACGTCTTGACTCAACGAGCTTCAGGCTCGGAGTTATCTTTATGATTTAGCCTCTAAATCGGCTTTCTTGTCTCAACGAGTTTAGACTCGGAGTTATATTTCAGCAGCAATTCAGATAGTATATAAGCTATATATGTATATACACGAATCAATCATATCCTTTGAGAAATGATAACGTATAAAATACCGAAGTATTCGCTAATCATTCTCGTTTGTTTTTTCGACAATACATCGATGATCTAGATTTTCGTAAAATAAATTAGAAAGAGAAATACGAAACTAACAAATCCCTATCGAGCAAAATCTCGTGCTAATAACGTGTTATAGAATAAATTATTTGATATAATATGTATATTAAATATACTAAGAATGGAACAACGTGAGTGCAATATATGAGAACTATGAATTGAACTTTGTATACTGCAAGAGAGAAATTCACGAAGGAATTGTTATATTATTTCCAAACGAATAGCACCTATATATACAAAATGTCTATGTACATCAGTACATGCATGAATCCACCTGTTAATATTTGGCTAACTATAGCTAATATGATTACACGTATTATAATCAAAAGCTACAATCAACTAATTGGATTTGTGGTTGGTGCATAGTCCACGTCTTGTAACAAAATATATATATATATATATATATATATATATATATATATATATATATATATATATATATATATATATATATATATATATATATATATATATATATATATATATATATATATATATTCAAAGAAAAAGATCATAGTACCCAAAAAATGCGCTTCTTTATTATTTGTTTTTAAATAAATGGGATTGTACTAGATGGTGGCATATGGCACTACTAAATTTCAAAAATCAACATTACTATTGAAATTGGTGTTGTGAAAAAAAAATTGACCCGATCGGAAATAACTGGATATCCGGTTGTTTCGGGTCGGTTCGAGTGATGATTTTTATGCCAAATATCCAAATAACCCGAAAAACTCGATGCGATCCGAATGTCACCGCTACTTGGAATACTATTTATATTAAATATTTTCGCCTTTGAAGACAGTTCACAAGTTTTGTAAATGAGGATAAAATTTTGAACCTTATGTTGTTTATTTATTTTCCGTTGCGTCTCGTTTCTTCTAACCATTAAGAATTCGGTACTATTTATTCGTTCAAGTATCAAAAAACATCGACGTACCTTCCCAAGTATTCTTAACTTCCCTAATCACCTCATTAAACGAGGTTATAGACACATAATCCCTCAGACTACGGTGGCAGTGGTACCCACCCACTACCTTGAAGCTGAAAACCCGATTCTTCTTTATTGGAGATATTAATATTAAATGATACATTTCACTAAAAGCTTAAGCTTTTGGTTGAGATGGTCATTCAACATGGTATCAGAGCCAGACCAAATGAAAGGTCCTGAGTTCGAATCCACCGCCACCCAATTCAAATATTTCAAGTGCAAGGCTTCAAATGTAATCCGCCTGCACTTGATGGGGCGTATTGGAGATATTAATATTAAATGATACATTTCACTAACAGCTTAAGCTTTTGGTTGAGATGGTCATTCAATTAAGCTTTTGGTTGAGATGGTCATTCAACATGGTATCAGAGCCAGGCCAAATGAAAGGTCCTGAGTTCGAATCCCACCGCCACCCAATTCAAATATTTCAAGTGCAATGCTTCAAATGTAATTCGCCTGCACTTGAGGGGGCGTATTGGAGATATTAATATTAAATGATACATTTCACTAAAAGCTTAAGCTTTTGGTTGAGATGGTCATTCAACATTCTTGTCCAAAATATGTGACCTCTTGTCACTAGGGTTGATTGTGAGGGAAGACCACAAAGGTGGTGGTCGCCTTGGGCCATTTTTTTCGAATTTTCGGAGCCCTTGATTTAGAAAAAAAAATACTCATTATACATTAGTATTAATTTATAATAAATCAATTGAAGGGTCATATTCTTAAAATAATCTTAAACGTACCAATAATATACTTTTTTTTTTTTTTTGATAATAGTTTACTTATTTTTTAAGGGGTATTTGCACTCGGCTCCCCTGTGAAATGTCTAATTGTCAAAAACCCCATCAGATAAAAAAATTAGCAAATACCCCCTATAAAAGGAAGTCAATGACAATAAGGACCCTACGAGCGAATCGTGGGATACACTCGCGGTTCATGCAGCTGGGCGTGCGATTTAGGACATTTTAGGACAAGAAAAGACATAAAAACCCTTCAAAAAAATAAAAAAAAATCAAAAAAATCGCGTCCCTCTTGTCCTGACTCCTGCACCACCACATCCTTCTTCTCCAAATCGAAAATGGACGGAGGCGGCGGATCTATTAATCGGCGGTGGAGAGATCTCCAGTGAGGTAGGGTCGCCGATGGAGTCTCCAGTGATGTTGGGTCGCCGCTCGGAGTAGCCTGTGATGATTGACCGGCGATGGAAGGGGGAGTGCGCTGCCATGGAGGTGACATCCATGGCAGACGCAACAATGTTGAAGGGGTCTGGGGTAAGGTGTGGCGGAGGAACTAGGCGGTGTCGAGGAGAGGAATTTGAACGAGGGGTGGGCGGCGGTGATGCGAGACGGTGGCAGTGTATAGGGAGAGAAATTTGAAGGAGTGAGTGGGTGTCGGAGGGCCAGACGGCGGCGGTGCTGAACTTATTACTCTTGAATCTCTAGGATCCACTATCGGAATCTTTGTTAAATGTGTGGACGCTCCATTTGCTATAGGCGGGGGAGGAACTGATGGAGTTCTTGTGGCGGCACTTACGAGGGAGGGTCAGGGCTTGATCGAGGATTTGGTGAGATCGGCGGAGACATGACGGAGTGGGGACGGTCGTAGACAGCAGCATAGTGTGGCAAGGCGGGGCGGCGGAGCCGAGATGGTAAGGGGAGTTTAGGTCTGATGGAGAAGAGGGCTTATCCGAAAATGCCATGGACTAAATTGAAAATTTTAAAAACTTCATTTTGGTGCTTTTAAAAATTTCGGGGTGATTTTTTAATTCTTGAAATTTATGAGAAAGGGTATTTATATAGTTTTAGATCAAAAAACGCACCCCCAGTTGCACAGTTTGATTTTTTTTTTCTTTATAAAGGGGTATTTATGTCATTTCCTTCTAAAAATGGCGTGAATAATAATTTGGAGTTTTGTGCAAAAAGTACCCCTGTGTTATCTTGAAATAGCAAAAACCCCCCTGTGATAAATAAATTAGCAAAAACCCCCCTGTGAAATTTTGTCAAAGGCATAAACCCCCCTAGGGTATTTTCGTGTTGCACACTCGCCGGACCTGCGGCTGTTAGTTGTTTTTAAGACATAAAATGACAGAATTGCCCTCACAGATTTATTAAATTGTAAATCTGAAAAAACCCTCTTATTTTTATCATCGTCTTCTTCGTTCATTCTCATTAGTTTCTTGCCAATTCGATACAGAAAAAAGCTACAGACAAAAAAAAAAAACTATAATTTGCTACCCCACAAAATGTTAGAAATACGGAAAAATCAACCCCACCTAAAATTACACGAAGTCGAAAACCCACTTAAAATCCTAAGAAGTCAAAAAAAGTTACAATTTTTCTTCTCATAAATGCCCAAAAGCAGGACCACAGCCCAAAATTCGCATACTCATTCGCTGTGTGTGTATATACATATATACGTGTATGTATATATATATATATATATATATATATATATATATATATATATATATATATATATATATATATATATATATATATATATATATAGCTGTTAATGGCTTTCAAAAAGGCAAAAATAAAGTGCAACTCACCTAAAGAAAAGAAAAGATGTTAATGGCTTCGTTTTTGTGAGAAATCACATTAACGATTTCACCTTCTTTTTTAATCGAGCAAGAATAAATATTTTGTTAGGGATTTTGGGGGTTTTGGTGAGATTATTTAGGGTTTTCTTTCGGATGGATAGGAATACATACACTTCTTTTTCTTCTTTTTTTTCTTTGTGAAACAGATAGAATTAAACACGTTAAAACTCAAATAAATGTCTCTGCTTTTTACTCGAGGGCATTTTAGTCTTTGTAGGTCGGGTCAAAGCATAAATATGTAATAGGTCATGTGTGCTATTTATAAAATTTCACAAGGGTGGTTTTTGCTAGTTTATTTATCACATGGGGGTTTTTGCTATTTCAAGATAACACAGGGGTACTTTTTGCACAAAACTCTAATAATTTGGGTATTGGGGTCTTTTTTGCTTTATTTTTTATTAAGGGCAATTCTATCATTTCACGTAAGTCAACGAGCCAGTGCACACAAAGGGGCGGTGGGCTGACTAAAACACAACATAGGGGGTTATATGCTAATTTTTTTTCCGGGGGGTTTTTTGCTTCCGAGAAATAACACAGGGAGGTCTATACAATTAACTCTATTTTTTAAGTAATCTAAAATAAAATTTAAAAATGATAATTATATTTTATAGTAAAGAATTTTTCATTCTGTTTCTTTCCGCTACTTTTTTTATTTCATTGCTTTTCTAAAGAATTGTTTCTTTTCATTCTGTTTGTTTCCCTTTCTTTTCAACTACCAACCCTTGTTAGGAGAGTTGGTACCTAGCCTTATCAATATGGTAAAAGGTCCAAGGTTCGAGTCCCCCCTCCTCTACTTCCCCTTGTAATGACTTGAATTACTTAAAAAGAAAAAAAAAAAATTAGTTCAACCAAATTTATGTGCTTGTTATATGCTTCCCTTCATTAAAATATGAACTCATCGTGAATGTGTAAAAATTGCCCTTGATATTCCACTTTTAAAATACTTACAATATTCATTTCTAAGGATTGAAACTAGAGATGAACAAAAAAAAAAAAATTAAAAATTGAATGAGTTTTTGAGATGCTACATCCGGTGAAATACACTAGATAATCTTGCACCATTCATTTACACCTCATAACACACATCATATTTATTTGTGCTTAATGAATAATTATTTATATAGATGTATAGTGGAAAACTACTTGGTGCTTTTCAGCGGGGGTGTAGCATCAGGCAGACAATTGAATGAGTTTGTCACAAAATTAATGTAACTTGCAAGTGCTCATGGAATTTAAAATTTTGGTACATTCATGTACACGTTTGACATGGATTACTAGAATTATTCTTTTTAATCATGAAATACTGCTTGTTATGAAGAAAATACTAAATGGGGGTATTAGTAGTTAAATCTAATGGAAATGAGCATGATCAAATGATATATTTATCTTGGTTGTGGTGCATGTTTTATAATTGCAAATGTGTGAATATTTTTATGTTTTCTTGAATAGAATTTGTTTAGGGATCACTGGCTCACGAGTTTGATGACCTTGAGATACTTGCGATTATAGAACACGTGAACTAGGCCGGGGATTGATCCGGCGGAAACCTCTTCGACGCTCGAGTCAGACGTGCGGATAATAGAAATAGTCCAGAGAATACAGTGGGTAGTACTACTCAGATAATAGGACGTACCTTAAGGAATGAATTCAAACGTTTATTTATAACTTAGTTGAGATTGTCGGGCCCAAACCTTACTTGAAGGTGATTGGGCCTCGGTGATAGTGGTTTTAAATATTGGGTTCGTGACCCATTAGATAAATAAGTTGTAGGCCCATTGGGTTGGCTCAATTAGGCATATCATTAAGCCCCCCACTCTCGAGTCGATGTGGGGGCCATGTCAGAATGGGTTCCAGATCATATCGAGAGTAGAAATTGTAGTGGTCTCGCGTCGGCGTATGACCTAATGGTGTGAGAAAATGTGTTGGAGCGTGTGTCAGAGGGGCGTGAAGGCGCTTTAGCGCGTCGCGACTAAGTTGGCGCGATGTAAGTTACTTGGTTCGTCAGTGTTGTCCCGCGACATGTTGTAGCGCGGATCGAGTTATCTCCTCGTGGGAGTTGTCTTGTCGTGGGGTAATAGAGTTGATCGAGTTATCCCCTCGTGGGAGTTGTCTCGCGATAATGTAGTAGCACGGAGCGAGTATTCTCCTCGTGGGAGTTGTTATTTATTGACATTGTCAATGTTTTGATGCGTTGCCTGTATGTGTTTACATATAGCCTTATGTGTGATGTACTTGAGGAGGGGATCAGACTCTCAATTTTTTTTTTATAGGAATCGTGCCCCTTGTTGGACCTCGTGGGTCGTAAGTATGTTTAGACCGTGGCCACGTTTTAATGAAGGACCCGTCGTAAAAAAGTAGATAAATTTGAGTAATCAAGTTGGCCAGGCTATATAGATTCCCATAATATCTCTAAGTGTTTATAGGGTTGTAATCGTGCTAAATTGAGCTTGCAATATGTAGTGAATTGCGGGCGAGTTGTCTCCTCGTGGGAGTTGTGTCGCAGCGAAGTTGTAGGGGCATTGGATGACGCGCAACTGGTGAGCGTACGGATTCAGGTGGCTCTGAGCGAGTTGTCTCCTCGTTGGAGTTTTCTCGCAACGATCTTATTACCGAGCGAGGTGTCTCCTCGTGGGAGTCGCCTTGTAACGGGTTCGTAGTGCCGAGCGAGTTGTCTCCTCGTGGGAGTTGTCTCGCTGCGGATTGTAGGACCGAGCGAGTTGTCTTCTCGTGGGAGTTGTCTCGCTGTGGGTTGTAGAACCGAGGAAATTGGCTTCTCGTGGGAATTGTCTCACAACGGGTTGTAGGACCGAGCGAGTTGTCTTCTCGTGGGAGTTGACTCGCTGCGGGTTGTAGAACCGAGCGAGTTGTCTCCTTGTGGGGGTTGTCTCGCAACGGGTTTGTAGGACCGAGCGAGTTTGCTCTTTCTGGGAGTTGTCTCGCAACGGGTTCGTAGGATCGAGCGAGTTATCTCCTCGTGGGAGTTGTCTCGCAAGCCCCCCACTCTCGATTCGATGTCGGAATCAAGTCGAAAAGAGTACCGGATCGTGTCGGGAGTAGATCGGTGTGCCCTTAATTGTCGGCGTGGCGTGAAGAAGTAATAATTTTTATTTATCTGTTTGAGAGAGCATGCGGTTTGGAGAGGCACGTTGGAGATCTCGCATGATTTAGTGCAGCGCGTTGAAATTCTCGCGCAACTTGGTGAAGCGAGGTGAAATCCGCGCACGATTTGGTGAAACGCGGTGAAATCAGTCCCCGATTAGGTGAGGAGCGACGGATGATTTGATTGCATGGGGAGGCGCGCGTGATTTGATTCGCATGGGGTAGCGCGTGCGATATGATTGGCATGGGGTAGCGCGTGATTTGGCAGCCGCGCAGAGAGGGATGACACGCGGGCGCATGCGCTGCACGCACGGAGAAAGTGAGTAGGCGCGTGCGTTTCACACGCGGAATAGGGGGTTTTGCAGTAAGGTCGGGCGCGTGAGACACACGCGCGAGTAGGCGCGTGGCCCCACGCGCGCATTGTACAGAATCCGTTTTTTCTTCTTTTTTTTTTCTTTTTTTTTTCTTTTTTTTTGTGTAATTAGTGGCGCTCGCGCCCTGAGGCAGGAAAAGGCAGCCCATGTGGGGCTGACGCGCCTTGGATGGTGCGCGGGCGGCTTAGAGGGCGCGTGGCTTGGCTTTTTTTTTTTTGAATTGAGGGGCGCGCGCCCCGAGAAGAAGGCGGCGCGTGCGGCTTGTTTTTTTTTTTTTTTGGTGGTTGATATCCATCCCTTGGGGATAATGTTCTATTTTCTTAGTACGTAGGGAAACCATATCCGGCTCTTGAGATGGGATGTGAACCCACTTGGGTTTCAAAGTAAGGGTGATGTCCAACCATTGGGATGGGATAGCCCCCAACTTTAGGATGAGGCGATCACGAAAACTTGGGATGAGATGCCCAACCTTCGAATGTGATAGCCCCCAACTTTAGGATGAGGCGATCACGAAACCTTGGGATGAGATGCCCAACCTTCGGATGTGATAGCCCCCAACTTTAGGATGAGGCGATCACGAAACCTTGGGATGAGATGCCCAACCTTCGGATGGGATGTTACATTCGAGACCTATGGTCTGAGGTGGATGCGCACGGTTGTGTCATTACTTCAGTGGCAACACGAGTTGAAGCTTGCAGCGGTTGTACGCTGAAGGTCCTCATCGGTTATCTAAACTGTTAGAGGAGCAAGTAGAAGTTGATCCTGTTGAGGACCCAGTGGGGCCTCGCGAGGATGAACTTGTGTTGGATCTCGAACACGAGAAGGAGGAAGTGGCAAACCAGAGCCTCCATGAGGTGGGAGGTCGTTAGAAGTGTCACACTCCTCCTGAGCTGATGTCTCAAGGCCATCATGCGCGCTACGTGATTATGTTTGCCTTCCCACAGACGACGCCAAAATGATGATGCTAAAGTTAGATCACCTTAGATAGTTGAAGTAGGATGAGTTGGAAGAGCAGAGTGGATCACTGGCTCACGAGCTTGATGACCTTGAGATACCTGCGATCATAGAACAGGTGAACTAGGCCGGGGGTTGATCCGGCGGAAACCCCTCCGACGCTCAAGTCAGACGTGCGGATAGTAGAAATAGTCCAGAAAATAGAGTGAGTAGTATTACTCAGATAATAGGACGTACCTTAAGAAATGAACTAAAACGTTTATTTATAGCTTAGTTGAGATTATCGGGCCCAAACTTTACTTGAAGGTGATTGGGTCTCGGTGATAGTGGTTTTAAATATTGAGTTCGTGGCCCTTTAGACAAATAAATTGTAGACCCATTGGGTTGGCCTAATTAGGCATACGAATATAAATAATGTTATAAGAGATAGCAAACAATTTACTATTATCTATAGAAAAATATGTAAAGAGTAGTAATAAACATATTATTCACATTATATTATTAAACATTACTAAATTCCCCCATGTCGTTTCTATTTTTCGTGTGCATGTGGACCACAAGCGCGTCGTACCTGGGGAAATAAAGGAGCGGACATTTCGCAAGTAAAATCAGGGGTATTCAAGACTCTATGCCATCGGCGATGAATTAAGTGCAAAATAATAATGTGTGTAGTGTATGAAAAATTCCTAAAAACAACACAAAGAAATTTGGTGCATATCTTTTCCTACCACATAGGAATTATGTTCTTTAATTACCTCAATAGCTTCAATTCGAATATTTTATTTTTCGTATTCCGCTGCATTTATGGCACATTTCATGCATCGAACATAAATAGGTTATTTTGTAAATATGTTTATGAATATTCAAATATTGAAATTCGTACAAAAAAAAGTGCATATAATATGCAATATTCGTTATAATCGAAATGTTATCGATCATGGACATCTATTAGGCATTTAAAAACCAAGCATAATCGAAATATACAAGAAAATCGAACTTTAATTTATTTCTGTAATATGATGATATTTTCATTTAACACAATTCATTAATCAAAATAGGCAACATTATCACATTTTTTTCCTTCATTTGTCATGATTATACTTTAGCTAACATCTCTAACACAAAATTTGAATCAGTCACTTCCAATTGTACCTTTTATCCAAGTTACCAATAGGACCAGCAGGAGTTAACCTATTTGGACTAAAATAGAAACCATCCGACTTAACTATCCAACTGCACACGTTACCACCAACACCGGTTTGACAGTCTCCGGCCAAATGTTTGTTGAACACATCGAATGTTTGATGCTTCCCATTCCACGTAAAATAACAAAAGTATAGAGTCGTCTTAAATATATTTTGATGGAAACTCCATCTCTGATATTGATTCAAATAAAGCTTATGATTTCCAAAATCGTTGTCCTTAGATTGACAATGAGTTATTAAATTAGAATTGCCATTAGGAAGATTATCGTAGACATTGACCTCGAATACCTTTGTTAGAGCATCGAGACCAGAATCAGCATCAGCATCAGCATCAGCATCAGCATCGATCATTCGAACATGATTCATTGATATCACTATAGAGAATAAGACGAGACTTTTCATTTTCATAGGAGTCATGATACTAAAGAAAATATTGATATTCCACTTTTATTTTTAGTCGAATTCGTTAGCTAGTTTTTATAGAAATAGTTAATTTGGATAGAGATTCATATTCTTGTAACGTTTGAGAAAATAAAGTATTTTAGTATAGTATATGGTATTACATTAAGGGTGTTAATTCTGAACGGATTGCCCATTAATTCAATTTAATCCGACTCACTTCACAGAGTGCCATGTATCTTTAGCACCAATAATTAAAAGACAGGTGTCTATATTAAATGATATGTTACGGTAGTACTAATAGTATAAAGTTAAGGTAATTAATTAATTATCACTTAATCCTTTGTAGTTTATCTGTTTCGAAACTAAACAGTTATGAATTTTATTTCAGAATTATGTAATTTTTATTATTTATTTTAACTGTAATTCATTTAAATTCTGATTAAAATTTTAATTTAAAAATAAAACTTACATGTAAATATCTAACTTGGCATATTCTTTAATTTCACAAAAATATATTATTTAAAATCAAATTTGAATTTAAAATCAAAAGTAATATTAATAAATTTTATTCATTAGTTTGAAAAGTAAATAGAAATTTAAAGTTTTCTTCTATTTTAATTGTGTGTTCTTTTTTCAAATAATACTTACCGTCTGAGTTTCGAAATAATTTCAGTTTTTCTTATACTTAATTTTTCTTAATAATTTATTTTTAATAGTAATTATGTGCTTAAATTAGAAAAATAAGGGCTTATCTCTAAATATGCAAACTACAAGAGGTTGGGTCGCATATTTGGACACTTGTCACAATATTAGTGGGATTCATTTTTTTTTTATAAAAAATGGAGAATACGTTTTGAATATTAACCCTTACATTAATGTAATTGAAATACTCTTGACTAGATCTTACTATGTATTAATGGATTATGAAAATATGTAATTTAATAGCGTCCTTATGACATTGAATTTTTAAGAATGGTAAGATGCTTGCATCTTTTGCATGTTTCCCTCAAATGATTTCTCAAGTTTCATATGGTGATAACAAGACCTCACCGTAAAATTACGGTGTTTCGTAGATTGCCAAATCACCTTATCCTTAGTTTGTAAGCTACCTGACGGAACGACCGAGATTCTATTATGGTCAATTGGCCAAAAAGTGTCATTAATAAAAGAAATATTACAAAACCATGTTGAAATATCAATCCTAACTTTAGTTCCTTCTTTCAGATAAGGTAGAGCAGCAAACAGGCTACGCCAAGTGGCAGATGGACACACACCATTATTTGCAAAGAATATATCACCATCGGGGAAATATTTAGCTTTAAAAATCTGGACAACGAGTGTCTCTCGGGATGTGACAATATTCGCCATGCCTGTTTCGCGAGTAAGGCAATATTAAAACTCCAAGTCCTCCAAGTTTCTTTGATGCACACATTTTACCCCAAGAAAACCATGCTATCTTTCGATTTGTGCCATCACCCGACCAGTAACGGCTTTTATGATCCCTACTGGTAACAAAAAACACCCCAAAATGTATGTTGGAATGTTCTGGAGCATTGCCTTGATTAACACCTCTTTACCGACACTTGATAAGTATTTTTCGCCCCAACCTTTGATTTTTCCCCAAATTCTATCTTGAGTGTAGCTGAAAATCTTCTTTTTCGTTCGCCCCATAGTAGCCGGCATGGCCAAGTATCTATCGCGATGGTCAACGACTCGAAATCCCAGTATTTGGTGAACATTATACCGCTGCTCCTATGAAGTTGATGGACTAAACATCATTGTAGATTTCTCCAAATTGATTTCTTGCCCTGATGTCCTCGCGTATGTGGTCAGTATTTTTTTTCAAAATAGTAGAGTCTACATTCGAAGCTTCACAAGAAAAGAGAGTGTCATCTGCGAAGCAAAGGTTAGATACAACAGACGTAGTTGGAGCTATCCAAAATTCCATGTAAATTGCCTGCTTGTACCTCGTGCTCAACCATAGCAATCAGAGCTTTTGTACAACATATAAAGAGGTCAGGAGAAAGAAATTGTGATCCATTGAATAAAAACGAGTAAGAAACAGAAGATACACACAACATAATTAGTTCAACTAAACTAGGAGGAAGACCAGAGCGAATAATATTTTTTTCAAGGAAAGTCCATTCAATTCGATCGTAGGCTTTGCTTATGTCTAGCTAGTTTAATTGTCATATAATTATTCCTGCCTTGGATTGGAGTTTTAAAAAATGATTGACTTTAAAAGCCACAAGAATATTATCTGTAAAACGAGGCTATTGAGAACAAATTCTGATTGAGCGGGGATACCAGATCATCTAGAAAAACCAATTTTGTATGGCGGCGACTATATGCAATCGCAAAATTTACTTAGGGCAAGATCAAATTAAATTTTATATCAAATTAAGTGTAAAAAGACTATACTGACAATAGTAAAATACAAACAAAATAAAACCTAATTCTATCATATACTCTTGCAAGACCAAATTAAAAAAAAAAAAAAAAAGAATAACACAATTGAAAAACGGGAGGGAGGGAAGAAGAGGACCACTTGCAGATTCACCGTCGCGCCGTCCGCCGTCGCCGTTGCCTATGAAGTCGACCACCACCGTCGTCGCCATTGCAGTCGATAGCCGCCACAACTCTCGTCGCCTGCAACTGCTGCCGCCACAACCCCCGTCGCCATAATCACAAAAAGCATGTAAGGAATTACTTTTTGAATTTATTTTTTGAGAAACAAAATGTGATAAACATAATTTTGTTGTTAGAATAATGAATACAAGTCCATTTAGAATATAGTGGATGATTTTATGGTTATATTCTACCACCATTGTTGAAGGAGTTGTGATTTTAAACATATCAACCTGTACTTGTCGATTTTTTTTTTAAATTTCAACACACTGGTGTCGATTTTTTCACTAAATTTCGACAATAAGTTGTTGTCGATTATTTGCATTTTTTTCGACATTTGTGTGTTGATATTTTGTTCAAAATTCGACATCAATGTGTCGATTTTTAGCAATTAAAACGGCACGCTGGCGTCGATTTTTTCAGAAACTAAAATTTCGACTCTATAATGTTGTTTTTATTGCTATATATCGACCTGTAAACGTCGAATTTTTGTGTAAGGGAAATTATTTTCGCAAAACGATCAAAAAGTTAAAAAAGTACAATATTTCTTATCCCATTGTGTTCTTTGACCTTAAAATCATCCATATTGATGTCTTGTGTGTCCATAATGTCATCATTTACAAGTTTTAATAAGATTTGAGGGTTTTGTTTGATGAGGGTTTTTGGAAAATACGAAAGAGTTTTTTTTGGATAAATTGTGTAGAATGAGTGTGAAGAAGAAGAGGTTGGGTTTTGTTGGTGAAATGAGTTCCCTCTCGTTTTTTATATTTTTTTTCTTCTTTTAGTGCTGCAATAGGAATTAGGCCTAACTTGAATTAATAATATAAAAATTAATATTGGGGTTATAGTTGTAATTTTCAGTCTTGCTCTTAGTAAATTTATTTATTTTTTGATCTAGCATCAAGTAACGTCTTGCCCTAAGAAATTTTGAGATTGCAAAAATTAGCTGCCATTTTGTATATAAACATTACAGAGGCTTGTGGGCCGATATTCGATGATTCTCTTGGATTTTTTGACCTTTGGTATAAGAGCAATATATGTGAAATTGAGGGTAGGTGGAAGAACTCGGTAATTCAAAAAATTAAGAATGCAAGAGATAACATTGTCTCCCAAAATACGCCAATAGTTTTTGTAAAATAGTACATGCAAACCATCGGGACCCGGGGATTTAAGAGGAGCCATCCGTGAAATGGCTCTGTGTTACCTCAGCCGACGATAAAGGGAAGGAGAGCATCTGATTTGCCTCGCTGCTGATCCTAGGCTCGATATAAGTCATGATCACGTCATCTATCTTCACAGCACTTGGGCTCGACGATTAATTGAAAAATGCGCTCGAAATAGTCTGTAATAACTTGCTCAATATCCCCATCTGTATCAACCCATTGCCCGGATTTATCTTTGAGCTTATCCATTCTACTCATCCGGTTTTGCAGCGTAGCCTTGGCATGGAAAAAAGCTAATAGTATTCCGATATATCTCCTTCGCAAATCCATTTGCCTCTACTTCTTTATTTCCCGTAAATATCTTCATCGACGTATAATTTTTCGAGCTCCAGTCGTAGAGCGCGAGATTCATTGATATTGTCCTCCGATTGGATACAATAGTCAGTCACTTCTTTATCTTCTCAATGCGATCCCTATTGGAATATTAATGTACTTTCTAGATTATCCACATGCATGTACAATGTATGATAGGATACACGAATAGGCAAATATATGAATTGTTAGATACATGTATATCTAGTATCATGATGAATATATTTAATATGATGCATATACGACATATGCCTAGACTAGTATAAATACTTCTTACGATTGTATTTGTAATTCAACATGTATTAGCAAGAGTAAAATACGTAGGAGATACGTGCTCCTCGATTATTTCCTTGTTAATCATGTTCAAATATACTTCCGCAATATATCTAACAATCCCTTGGCCTCGGTAGAGTTTCCCTTTTTCATTTACTTAAAGCGAGCCTGCACTCCTCCGATTTATCCAAAAAATCATCGATCGGGTCCATACCCTGCATGTTCGCAGCCCACTGATTTTTTATGTTCACAATCATCTCGACGAACCCAAATAGCTTCAAAACGAAAGGGTCTCTTTTTTTGTTGTCGTGGACCTCGTGGTCTCGTCCGTGCAGCCCGGAGCATTAATAGAATTGGATCATGGTCAGATCCTGGCGAGCTAAGGTGACAAACATGGGCGTCGGGGAACGTAGATTCCAGTCGGTGTTGGCGCAGCAGTGATCGAGTCTATAAAATCATTTAGTACATTTTTAATGGAATACAATTAACAGTGAACTATATTGACAAAATGAGACACTCAATACTATATACGAAACAAAATTGAACAAAGAAGTGATCTTATGTATTTCCATAGTTTAA